CAAGTCCTACATCATCTTTCTTTCTTTAAAATATTTTCTTGGGCCCTGGCCCAGTGGCTCAGTTGTTATGAGCGTCAACTCCTACACCAAAAGGTTGCAGGTTCAATTCTGGTCAGGGCACATACATTGGTTGCAGGTTCAATCCCTGGTCAGGGTGCATATGGAAGGCAACCAATTGATTTTTCTCTCCTTCCTCTTTAAAAAAAAAAAAAAAAAATTAATCCTCAGATGAAGATTAAAAAATAAAATATTTTCTCAGTTCTTCTTATATATTTACATTTTTGGATATATTTTAGAATTCATTACCAAATTCCAAAAGGAGTTGTTGGAATTTGATTTGGAAATATATTTATAGCCTAGCCTGGGTTGCTCAGTGGTTGGGTGTCAACCTATGAACCAGAAAGTCACAGTTCAATTCCCTGTCAGGGGACATGCCAGGTTGTAGGCTCAGTCCCCAGTGTGGGGCATGCAGGAGGTGGCCAATCGATGATTCTCTCTAGTCATTGATATTCTTATCTCTCTCTCCCTATTCCTTCTTCTCTGAAATCAACAAAATATATATATATATTTTTTTTTTTTAAGGAAAAGAAATGTATTTATAGTATACTTTTAGGTAAAAATATATTGATATCATTCCTATATATTATATAGATTATGTATAGTTTAAAAATTATCTATAAATATCATTGCCATTTTGTTTCTAAAATTATATATATAAATATATATATGCACACATACACACACACACACACACACACACACACATACACATCCTATATAATAAAGAGCTAATATGGTTGTCACGCCCTCACACCATCATGCCATAACGGCTCAGACACAACACTGGGGAGAGAGGAATGGGGACCAGCCAGGCTGCGGCCTGGGAGAGGGACAAGCCGCCCGCCCCATGGTCCCGAGTACAGCAGCTGCGCCTGTGGCCTGGGAAAAGGACAAGCTGCCCACCCTGTGGTTCTGAGTGCCAGCAGCTGCAGCCAGGGAGAAGCAGCCCGCCTGTCCCCTGTGTCTATGGCCGGCCTGGGTGAACGCTGGCCCGGGTCCTGGTGCCTGTGGCCGGCCAGAGGGAAGGAAGACTAGGTCCCAGGTGCCTGCAACCTTCTGGAGGAGGGAATCCTGGGTCCTGGGTGCAGGGCAAGGCAGTGACGATTAGGGACTATCAGATCAGCAGGGGAGCAGTTGGGGCGATCAGGCTGGTAGGGGAGCAGTTCGGGGCAATTAGGAAGGCAGACAAAGGTGGTTAAGATCTATCAGGCAGGCAGAGGGGTTAGGGGCGATCAGGCAGACAGGCAGGCAAGTGGTTAGGAGCCAGATTGGGAGAGGCAATCAGACATCCCCCAAGGGGTCCCAGATTGGAAAGAGTAAAGGCTGGGCTGTGGACCCTCCTTCTTCCCCCGCTTCCTGTGCATAAATTTCATGCACCCGGCCTCTAGTATATAATAAAAGTCTCAAAGAATATATAACAAAATATATAGCAGTGGTTATCTCCTGATGTTATAGGTGTGTGTTTTTCTTGGTGCTTTTCTTTTCCAAACTTTTTACAGGTGTAATACTTGTTATTAGTAAATCCAAGTATTGCAGTCCTGAAAAATGTTAACTAAAATGTATCCATTAATAACTTTGCATTTACTTAACATAGCAGAAGCCAAATAGAATGCAAAATATTTCATGGGAGATATGTGACTTGTAGAGTCAAGTACAGATAACCTGGCTCAGAACATAAACCAGAGTTGTTCAAATATTCCCAAAAATAATCTGATATTCAACCATTCAATCTGACATTCCATCTGCAATACTACCTGACATTCTCCTCACTGTATTTTTCAAAAATATTTTTATTGATTTTTTACAGAGAGGAATGGAGAGGGATAGAGAGCTAGAAACATCAATGAGAGAGAAACATCAACAGGCTGCCTCCTGAACATCCCCCATCGGGGATGTGCCCACAACCAATGTACATGCCCTTGACCAGAATCAAACCTGGGACCTTTCAGTCTGCAGATCGATGCTCTATCCACTGAGCCAAACCGGTTTTGGCTCCTCACTGATTTTGAATGATTGACTTCAAAATAAATGAGGAGAGTTATCGCCTTATCACAGCAGTATTTCTGGGTTATATTCTGTGTAGCTGTATTTCCACAGCACCTGGCCTCTTTGGTTTTCCCATTTCAGAGATTTATATTTATGTGACACAGCCAGGCCTTGATATGCACCAAGAATTAGTGTGGTCTAAATCTAGCCCTTGCATGTCTTGATCTTTTAGTCAACATTTAGCAGAAAAAAGATTGCTGAATCTGTTCCCAGCTCATTGATATATTTGAAGCAGCAGCATGTTAATTCTTGGCTCAGAGCATCTAGATTCTATCAACACTGTAGTTAGAACTTAATTCTCTGTGCTTTTTAATCTACATGCTCTTTTTGGATAATCTTACCAATTTCATAAAAACAACAGTAACTAACAATTATTATAATAACATATAACACTTATCAAGCATTTTCTATGTGTCAGGCATTATACTACACTTTATAGGAATACCTCATTAAATCTTTAAAACCTTCTATAAATGTTATTGCCCTATTTTACATGAGTAAACTGAGGCTCAAAGATGTCCAGGTCATACAAACTATAATTGGCAGAGCAGACATTGAAACCCAGGCAGCCTAACTCTCTGGAGTCTATGTTCTTAATTACACTTTAAACTCAATTTTTAAATTCTCTCTTTGCCTAATATCAGCTCTGCTTCCTGTATTTTCTATCTGATTTGTCTAAAATCCACAGCTATAACTGTCAAAATTATTCTCCATTCTCTGTCTCTTAACTCCACCTATCAGTACTACCTTCGCAAAGTCTTACAAGTGTCTGTTTCTCTTCATGTGCCCAGACCTCACCTTCGTTGCACCCTCCTTGATTCACCTGGGCTTGTTCAGTTACCTCCCTTCACATATTCTTTTTTTCCACTCAGTCTAATGTTTTTATCTTTATAGCTACCTTCTAAGAAAATGAACCGCCGAGACCGGTTTGGCTCAATGGATAGAGCGTCGGCTTGGGGACTGAAAGGTCCCAGGTTCAATTCCAGTCAAGGGCATGTACCTCAGTTGCGGGCATATCCCCAGTGGGGGGGGTGTAAGAGGCAGCTGATCGATGACTCTCTCTCATCGATGTTTCTAACTCTCTATCTCTCTCCCTTCCTCTCTGTAAAAAATCAATAAAATATATTAAAAAATAAAATAAAATAAGAAAATGAACCGATATGTCTCTGTACTGTTTAAAAACTCTTGGACTTCCTTTTGCTATCGTTGTTGTTGTTTTAATGAGATTAAATCTAAGCTCCTTAGCTTTACATACACAATCTGGCCCCAGTCTGTCTCTTCAGTTTTCTATGGTTCTCCACCCAACCCCATCACCTTGTGCTCCAGCCATATTGAGCATCTCACTCTTCCCTAGGTCTTTGCCAAGCCCTTTCATAGCTCTGTGCATCTGCACTTGTTTCATCTGTTTGAAAGCCTCCTCTGTCTTTGATCTCCCAAACTCCTATTCGGCTGTCAAGATCCAAATCACATGTTGCCTTTAGTAACATCTCGGACTCCTCCAGGATAAAACAGTCATTTTTCCATCTTCCCGTGTAGCATGTGTTCACGCCTCAGTTACTGCCCTTACCATGCAGAGCTGTAATGATCTGTTTACGTGTTTGTCTCTTTTATTAACCTATATGGGTTTTCAGAGCAAGAACCAAGTCCAGGTCCTTAATAAATGTCGGTTTGATGCTTATAGGAATGTCAAAGAGAGTGTTTGAAACAATAAGAAGTTAGAAATATACTTACTCCTAAACAGACACAAGACTACCTCATGTCCAAATTAACAGGCCTAAGGAGGGTTGTCTAATGCACTGAATACAAGTGATTTATAAAACGGGGAAGACTTGACATTCTAAGTTTCCCTAAGTCAAGGCCCATTATGCAAGACTCAGATCCTGTCTGTGAGCATCCCTGTACTGAGCAGGGGTGTGATGCTGGGGCACAGTGGAGAGAGCATTCCACCTGGAGCCAGAGGACTGGGCTTGGAGTCCCAGCTCTGCAAATACAACCCTTGGAACTTGGACTCGTCACTGACTTCTTTAGATCTTATTTTCATGAAAAGCCATTTGGTATTTACTTTTATATTTTCCTGGTTGTTAATTTACATGTGGGAAGACTTCGCATAGAAAGTGTCTCTTTTGTCATTTTCTTTTTTAAGCTTTATTGAGGTATAATTGACAAAATTGTGATATATTTAAAGTGTGATGATTTGATATACATCATGAAAGGATTCTCACAATCGAGTTAACACATTCATCATCTCACATAGTTACTTTTTGTCTTTATAAGAATATTTAGTTATACTCTCTCAGCAAATTTCTATTATTTATTACAGTGTAAACAACTCTTGTCACCATGTTTAACCTTAAACCCTCAGGCCGTATTCATCTTATATCTGAAAGTCTGTACCCTTTTAACGACCTCATTGCCCCCATTCCCCAGCCCCCTGGCAAGTATCGTTTTACTCTCTGATTTTAAGAGTTCAACTTTTTTCCCCTGATTTCACATATAAATGATACCATGCACTCTTTGTCTTTCTCTGTCTGGCTTATTTCACTTAGCACCATGGTCAGCAAACTGCGGCATGTGAGCCACATGCAGCTCTTTGGCCCCTTGAGTGTGGCTCTTCTACAAAATACCACGGCCTGGGCAAGTCTATTTTGAAGAAGTGGCATTAGAAGAAGTTTAAGTTTAAAAAATTTGGCTCTCAAAAGAAATTTCAATTGTTGTACCGTTGATATTGGCTCTGTTGACTAATGAGTTTGCCGACCACTGACTTAGCATAATGCCTTCCAGGTTCCTCCATGTTATTGCAATATCATTTCTTTATTGATAAACAATAATTCTTAACTCAATGTAAGTAGGATTGTTTTCTTTTATCTGAAATCCACCTTTTCTTTCCCTTTCAGCTTCAGAGTGAATTAGAAAAAGGTGAGCGGGACAATGCAGAGCTGCAGGAGTTTGCCAACGCCATTCTCCAGCAGATCGCAGACCATTGCCCCGACATCCTGGAGCAAGTGGTCAACGCACTGGAAGAATCATCCTGACCCTGCTTCATGGGGAGCAGCCAGCCAGCGGCCCAGTGCAGTGAGCCCAGGAGCCAAGAAAAGCGAACTGTGAGGACAGGCACCCAGATACTTCTTGACCCCTGCAAACACTACGAACTCTGTCCTACCGTGTTTAGTTCTTCAAGTGCGATTCCAGCGCCACTTCTACATCTGTCATCTTACTCTGCTGTTCGCCTTTGGATGTTGTCTAGACGCTTATTTTTTTTTTTTTATGTCCAAGGTGGGTAAGTGACCAAGTCTCCATGAGAAACCACCATCTGGTCATCAACAGTGGAGAATTCTGAAAGCTGGTGGCTCTGCCTGCATAGGGTCATGGAATAGGGAGCCTCTTACTTGTGTCCTCAATGTGGGGACTAAACCTGGAACCTACTTGGAGTTCAGCATACTGAGAGAATGCTTCCGCATGGACAAGAGAGCTGAGTGTCCTAAAATCACAACAGGTGCTTTCTCCTAAAAGGCTTTTTTTTTTTTATCTCAAAAAGATATTATTAGAAAAAGAGAGAGGGTTAAAGAGAGAACAGGGACAAACAGACAACTGACTCTTCTTACAAGGTCTCTTTTGTTTACTTTCATCTGCAGTGTTCTATGCGGGGCAGCCGCACACAGGCTCCTGGTGGCTCGGTGCACACTGACAGCCCTGTCTGTCTCGCTTATGCGTGCTCTTGTCCTCGACCCGTTAACGACAGGTGGTGCAAGCAATTCTCCCCCTAGTCCTCTTGTGTGAGACCTCGGGCCTTTTACTTAGATCATGTATCTCTACTGGAAAGAGAAGAGGGGTTTGACGTGAGGCACTGTCATCACCAGCTCTGCTTCTGGAGATGGCCATTGCCAGGGTCAGGCTCTTTCTCCTGAACATCTCCCTCATCAGGCCTCTGAGCCCCAGAAGAATGCTTCTGCCTTCCCCACCATGCTCCACGCCCAGCCGTCACTGAACTCTCTGACCCACCTTCCACCCTTCTAGCTTACCTCTTGATTTGCACACCTAGAACCTTAGCTTCATGCATTGCCTGGAACCTCCTCTGACACAAATGAATGTTCTTGTCCCGCACACATTCCTTCCTCCATTCTTTCATTTGAAGAGTATGTATGAAACGCTTACTGTTAGGCAGTCGTCCTTGGGAGAAAAATGGAGGAGAGGTATAAAGGATTCTATGAGACATACCTGCTTTAGTCAAAGCAGCAAGAGGCATACTCTTCCTCTCCCCTATCTTAATCGAAGGTATCTTTTCCAGAAAACCTTTCTTAAATCAGCATATCTCACTTCTCGCTATAATAGAATTGATGGTTTGGGGCTGGGGCTGAGTCACTTACTTGCCGTTTGGTGATTCAGGACATTTGCGTGTTGCTGCCCTGAGAGAGCACACTGTCCGGGGGCCTGGAGAGAAGGTGGTGTTACCGCGTGGAACTTGGCCAACTCCGTGTCACAGATGAGAAAATTGACCCCAAAGTTGCAAATTCACTTGAAGATAACTGGCATTTTGAAGAGCATTTTCCCCATGCATAGACAATGACAGTGATAAACAAAATCAGGCACCAAGAAATAGACCACTTAACCAAAATCCAGGCCTTTGACCACCTCTGTGGCCAGACCCCCACCAGTCACTCATATCTTCTGATAAGAGTTGCTGGGCTAAATGCCTTTGTCTTGCATTTTCTCCTCTGCCCTTTCCCAGCTACTCACCCAAACAGTCTGATGCTGCCTGCATAGTCATCACGGCCGTCAGTGCAGTGTCTTCCCCACCACAAGTCCTGACTGTCTCATTAACTTATATGGTTGTATCTCCAGCTGCCCTGACTCCTGCTGTAAAGCAGCCCCCACCCCCACCCCCCGTGAGAAGCTATAGAGTGCTCCTTATCAAAGGCTTAAATGGACTCTGCTCATAAAGTTCTTACTGAGATGCTTCCTGATAGCCAGGCTGGCCGGAGTGGGGGCACAGGGGTTAGACATTAAGTGGTGGTCATTTGTGGTCAATTACCTCAATTTCATTTATTTATTGCACTGCCCGTAAATCATGCAGATAGCCTCTAGTATTCTAGAGTGGAGTATTAGAATCTCACTTTAAATGCCATAGGACAAAGAATTGAGGTATGATAACAGCCTTCACAGGACCACAGCAGAACAGAAAGCAGAAGAAGCCATGCCCAGAGAAGTGGCCTGGCCTCGCATGGCTGGCCATGGTCTAGCTGATCTGGCAAGGGAAGGCATCAATCAGATCTCTCTCTGGGTCCCACTGGTTTGGCTTTTACCAACAAATAAAATACCTGCCCCTGTTGCCCACATGTTGTATGATTCTCAGTGCACCTTCTTCCTTCCTGTCTTCATATCAACCCCTTCTGTTGCTCTCCCTCTAAAACCTTATGGGAGTCCTCTGCACAAGTGCTCCCAAGAAGAGACATTTCTGGGGCAGACAGCATGTGTCTGGTCTTTATGAGCCAAAGCAGGGAGTCTCGTTCATTCTTCCTTGTATCTCAAATGGTTCTGGGGACTTTTTGGACCTGAATGAATTAGGCTCTGGCTAAAGTTCAGTGGTGAGCATGACCTGTATTTACATAATAGGTACAAAGTCTATACAGTTTCTATCTGGTGTTTAGAGTATCTTACTGAGTTTAAATCATTCATCGAGCCAGCATTTACTAAATGCAGAGTTCCCATCACAGAAGGACTTTCATTTTGTGACCTTTTCATGATTTGCCAAGGTCTCACAAGGTCCCTCAGCTACTACCAAATGTCTGTGTGTAGTCTTGAAAACTCAGTGAAGGTTGCCTATAATGTTCACCAAACTCATCCATCCCATTGGCAAGCCTAGTTGCCCTTTAACACCTAAATATTTGTACCCAAATGAAGATCATCATAAAGGGGACAAGAAGAAAAGTGGGTGGAATCCAACCTGGAGCACATGACTAAAGAAAGAAAATGTGACTTCATCTTTTCCTATACCTCTGTCCCAGGTACTCATTGAGTCCCTGATGGAAGTATTGAACTGAGATTTTACAAGGACTTTGGACACCATTTGAAATAGAAAGGACTTTAAGTGGGCTCTAAAACATATTAAGAAATGTGCATGGGAATCCTGAAATCCATCTCAAGTCTAACTTTTGACCTTGTACATTACAATCTTGAAGATCTAAGTTCCTTTTCCTCTTTCTTACACTTGGGCTTTAAAAATGCTAGTAAGGCATACTAGACCCAAACTATCTTCAGTGTCACTAGTGGCACTTTCGTAAGTAAAAGTCTGTCTGGTTTTCCATGAGGAGCTCATTGGCTCACCCACTCCTCAGAGTGAGAGAAAAGGAAGAAGTCAGCACGGAGCTGATGGTCAGGACTGGCATTTGGATTTGCTGCTAGAGAGTCCTGCTGTTCCCAGATCCTTCCTGCCCTTCTGTTTGACCACATCTGAGACCACAGCTCCCTGGGCAACCCTTTGAGGAAAGAGCAAATGGAGGAATATGTCACCACATAGACTGTGACCCTCCCATGACGCCTGCTAAGTTCCCGTGAGCCCTGTATCAGCAATATCAGTAACTCTCACGTCTGCCTCCCCAGCCTCATCTCCCCGCCTGCGAACGCTCAGGACTATGGAAAGGGAGATGAGGAGGGAGTGGGTGCAGGCAGCACGCTGCCCTCTGCAAGGCCTGCAAGGCCATGCATCCCCTGTCACTGCCAGTCCCTGGGCTCTCAGAGTGATTTCAACCATTTAAAGAAATGTTTTAAAGGAATCCGGAGTTTCCTCCATGTGAATTAAGGAAATACTTGGGCAAGAAAAACACACAAGGAAATCCTTCTGAACAAAATGGCTGTCTTTACTCTTTTTAAGCAAAAACTGTTTCCAAACTTTTTTGTGTCAAAACTGTAACCAAGTGTTTCCTGATTTCCCCCCAATGTGTGTAGTGAGTACTGTTACCCTAATGTAGGTATTTCTCCTCCAACTCTCGGAGGAGAGGTGGTGTTAGGACTGATTTGTGGGGAGCAGGTTTTTGTCCCATCACCTCCTCTCTCGTTTCTCTGCTTGTCAATATTGTCTGTGTGGCTCAGAGAATTTGGGCAGTTACATTGTGTCCATTGTTGAAATTATTAAGATATTAAAAAGTAGTTGTAGAACTGAAAAATTAAAGAGCTGTGTTTTTAAAAATGCAAATCAATATCATGTAAAAGGAATTCAAGCTATGGGGCAGCCGAACTCCGCCCTTCCTCCTAAGCTGGCTTAGGTGGCAGCTGGGCTGGCCGCTTGGGAAGTCCAAGGACCACCCTCCGGCAGTGACTGCTCGGCGGAAAGACAGCTGCCGGGGAAAGGAATGGGAATCTGGGCCTCAGAGTTCCAGTCGTGCCAGCGCTTTCCTGTCCATCCTTAGGACCTATGGGTAGTTTGTGACCCCATAGCCACTCTCACCCCCACGTTGGTCCCAGCTCAGTGTGCCTAATACTATGTGGCAACCGGGGCTTGGCTCTGAAGCCCCACACCTGAGAGCAGCCCTGTTCAGGCCACAGAACCTCTCTCGTGCCCACTTGGTGCTATATCATCCAGTGACCATCCCACATGGGCCAAGCACTGGCCAGCCCAGAGCCTGCAGTCTGGTGAATGCGTTATACTCAGATCTCAGTTCCTTCTGGCTTCAGTCCTAGATTCTTTCCCTTTAAGATGTTTAGTCCCAGATCTCCTGGGCCCAGGCCGCCTCTGTGGCCCTCCCCCGCACCCCGTCTGAGATGCCATTGTCAGAAGGGAAGTGAACCCCGCTGAAGCCAGGGAATCCGGCCCTGGGCCTGAGCCAGCCCTCCAGCCGTTTCACACCTCACCAGTATTGCATCACCCTCTAAGCCAGGCCGCCAGCCCCCGGAGGCAGCACACCGCCCTCTGGCCTGATGGCTGCGCAGCACCAGCCCCGCACCTGCCCAACAGCAGGGCGTCCAGGATGGGACGGGGTCTCCCTGGGACATGCACCCCTCGCTCCAGAAGAGAAGTGCTGCACTTTAGTGAGGAGCTGGGGGAGGGGGCTGGGCACTGTTTCCTTGTAGCTTGAGTTCCTTTTGGTGACAGTAGCAGCCGCAATGGTGGTGTCTGTGATGCAAATGCACCTGCTGCCTTCAAGTGTGCGTGTGTGTGTGTGTGTGTGTGTGTGTGTGTGTGTGTGTGTGGTGGCCAGTCGCATTACTGACAGGATAATGACACTACAGAGAAATTGTGTTATAGTCAACTTTGCCTTGATAATTATTGTAAACACTTTGTTTTGTTTTGTTTTATATTCACAAACTAAATCCATCGGGAACTTATAAAATTATTTAAAAATTATGTGCTGTGTCTTTCTTTGAGTCTTATTTAGTCTGATACTTCAAGGGAGCTGTGGCCTCAGATGGGAGAAAAGCAGGGGGAGGCCAGCAGTCCCCAAGGGGTCAGCCCTGGTGGTAAGTAGCCAAGAACCAGGGTGCCCGTCCCTAGGGGGCAGGGGGGAAGGGTTTGGCAGCACCCTCGCCCAGACAGGCTGCTGGGTGGTCTCAGAGAGAGAGGAGCGAGCCTCCATTAGGTTCCCACTTACACTCGATGGGCAGCCTTTTCCACCTCCTGTTCCTTCCTCACACCCTGGGCCTGAGCCAGGTTCCCCGCTTCTGATCTAACTTCCAGGCATAGAGCACACCCACTGCTGAGGGCCAGCATAGCGGCTCCTGCTTAGATGGCAGACAGTGAGGAGGGTCCCAGGCTGACAGGGTTTTCTTAAGAATTGGGGGTGTTCTGACGTTTTAATATTAACCCTGGGGTGTGTGAGCTGCCAGTCAGCAGGAGCGCAGATACCAACAGTGATGGAGCCGTGAGACCCTGTGCTTCAAGAACGTCCAACCTTGCTATTTGTCTGGGGCCTGATGCTCAATAAGAAATTGTTCTGGGAAGTTTCTTTTATGAGAATGTGTTAGATTCATTTCTCTGTCAACCCCAGAAGAGAACCAGCCTGCTTGCTGCATTTCCTTCCCTCCCTGGTCAATTCTGTTGCCCACTGTGTGTTGGCGCTTAGCTAGAGCGTCAGGGTCCCTGGCAGGCGGTCCCAGTGACCTGACTGCCTCGCCTCACCCTCTGAGCAGCCCTTGGCTGCTCCCGAGCTGAGCCGCCAGGTGGAGGCCATAGGGACCTCACCCTTCCATTCACAGGACAGAAGCCTGAGGCTGCTGCTCTCCACAGGAGGCAGGCCTCTGAGCCCTTTCCCAGCTGAAAGAGTTACGCCGCATGGTACAAAATCCCCACAGGAAGTTGTCAGATGGCCCTGGTCAGCTGTCTCTAGGGTTTCCCATTCATCTTTTCCACTGTTTGTTTATCTAATACACTGTCTGTGGCCTGCCAGTCCTGGGTTTCAACAAATGGATGCAGAGACTATGCAGTTTAAGGAAATATGAGAGGAGAACTTGCCATTGAGAATGTCATTCATTAATTTTTTTTCCTCTGAATTGGGAAAAAAAAAAAACTGCTATTATTTGCTTAGGGGGATGGAATATCTCAAGCTTGCTCAAAGTTGATTAAGAACCAGTTGGACCTGGGGTGGGGAGCATTCCGAGGAAGTGGCTTGAGCCCCGCCAGCTTCCCCAGGTGTCCTAGGAAGGGCCGTGGCCTCAGCCCAGGAGCCCTGGCCTCTTGGCCTCTTAACTGTCCTTCTGTAAAATGCTGCTGCTTTCATCGAGGTCACAGCCATGATGAGGATAATAAATATAAATAAATAAGCATAAAATTGCTTTCTTCATGCCTGCAATGTGCTTTACAATTACCCAGGATGTGCACTGAGGTGGGGGGAAGGAGAGGAGGCAGGAGAAGAGGGGCCATGTGTCCTCAATGGCTGGTGCTGCTAGTCAGTGGCTATCTGGGTTCATTAGGCTACTAGTGGCCCGGCGCATGGATGCGTGCACGTTGAGAGGAAATGCACTAGAAGGTGGCCGGTGGGGCGGGACAGGCCGGGACAGGCCCGATGCAGCCTGGAGCCAGTCTGTGGTCCCTCCCAGGTCAGCCACACCTGGGGCGGCACCTCGAAGGGCTTCTGCGGAGTGAGCAGGGTCCCTCTGCCTGGCCCGTAGGATCGGGCCGAAACCAGCAGTCCGACATCCCCCGAGGGGTCCGGGAGTGCAAGAAGGCACCCTGCAGCCGAAACCGGTTTGGCTCAGTGGTAGAGCGTCGGCCTGCGGACTGAAAGGTCCCGGGTTCGATTCCGGTCAAGGGCATGTACCTTGGTTGCGGGCGCATCCCCGGTGGGGGGTGTGCAAGAAGCAGCTGATCGATGTCTCTCTCTCATCGACGTTTCTAGCTCTCTATCTCTCTCCCTTCCTCTCTGTAAAAAATCAATAAAATATATTAAAAAAAAAAAAAAAAAAAAAGAAAAGAAAAGAAAAGAAAGAAGACACCCTGCAAAGTTGCTGTGGTACAGGGTGTGAAATGCAAATGCAAGTGTACAGTAAACCAGTGCCCCCAACAACATAACCCACGGCCAAAGGTGGAATCACGCAGCCCCAGGAGGAATGGGCTCCCTCCTCTCTGGTTTCAGGGTGCAGTCACCTGAGAACCTGCTGCCCCAGCTCCTCAGCTCCTGCATTGAGAGTCTGCCCCCTGGTGGTCAGTGCACATCACAGTAACCAGTTGGCCAGTCAGACACTTAGCACATTAGCTTTTTATATAGAGAGATTTTCTATTTTCTGTGTACGTTTGGAATTTTCCTAAATTATATATTCACATCCTTCCATTGTACTTGCTCAGTGATCACTGATGGACCTTCCCCCACCCCCACCCTGGATCCAAGTAATCCACATTCACAAACTGCCTCCATGGCCCTCAGTCCAGCATCTGTGCCCCTGTTATAGGGCCAGGCACGCAGATAATAGCATGTGTGAGGTCCCGTTCTCAACACTTGACAGGTTTTATCTCACGTCCATGGCAATCAGGGGAGGCAGGTACTATTATCCCCATCTTAGAGGTGAGGCAGAGTGGCTGAATACCTTTCCCAAGGACACACGGCCAGCCAGCAAGAGGTAGGGCTAGAATTTAAACCCACTCTGTCTCCAGCTTGTGCTCTCCAGCCCACCACTGTGCCACGTCCCTCCAGGAGCTCACAGTCCAGTGTGGGGTGGAGCACAGAAGAGCAGGCAATGCTTGGCATAGACCTTCAAGTTTGGCCTTGAAAGATGAATTGAATTTTGCCAACAAAGGAGTTCAGGGATGGGGGGCGGGGGGAGGGGCAGAAAAGAGAGCCTGAGCAAAGACAGGGAGATAAAAAAAAGGACGTGGGGTGTTGGGGTAGCAGTCCAGTGTTGATGGGTCAAATATTGCCTGGCTTAGGAGCACAGAGATGACATGGGGGCCACAATGTAACTTCAAAGGAGGTTGGAGGGCCCATACTGTGAGGGCTCTGTAACGCCCGGGACAGAACCGTAGCTTGGGAGAGCATTACCCGCACTGCCAGGGACCTAACCACAAGGCTAATCACAGCAGCACCGGGCATGTCCACTCTAGGAGTCTCCGGCCTTGCTGACCCTCAGAGCTGTCAGAGATGGTGAAGGAAAGGCATTGGCCTGGGGCTGCCACAGGAAGCTGCCCGAGGTTACACAGCGAGGAACCTGAGGGACCTGAGCTTCAAACCCAGCGGGTCTGTTTCCACTCCTTTCCCTCCAGTCCCTTCCACTCGCTCGCTCGCAGCACCATCAGAGGCTCACAGCTGAGTTGGAAGCAGACTGTGGTCTGGGACACGGGAGGCTGCCGCCTTGGACAGTTGAGGCACCGAGGTCAGGTGGTGGTTGGGGGTTCGAAGGAAAGAGGGGAATCCTGGCTTGGTCAGCAGGATGGATGAGAGTCACACCAGGGTTCGTGCTCTATTAGGCTCTGGGCACCATTGATTCCCCAAGAATTAGACAATGAGGCGCTAGGAATGCTTTCACCTTCCTCCCGCCCTCACAGGGAAAGGACCGAGGCTTGTCAGCTTGGTAATTCCATGTCAGCCCTCCCCGTCCACTGAGGCCGTTCCTGTGACATCTTGTCTGGGAAAGCGGTTATTACCCTTCCGTAAGCTGGGTCACAGGGCGACTGGGACATTCACCGCCTCTTGCTGGTCCTGCGAATGCAGCCCTCTGTCTTCCTTCCAGCTGCTCCAGACAGAGCGTGCCATTCACCCCCCCCCCCCCCCCGCCTTCCCACCCACCACCATCCACCCCCCCGCAGCCCGCAGCCTGGCTGTGAGAGTGACGAGGGAGAAGAGGGCATGTGAGGAAAGATGTCCCTCAGATGCTGCAGTTTCCATGCCAAGAAACCGTCTCTGGCCTCTGGGGATTCCTGTTTGGTTCATCTTGAACTGGATGTGTGTGTGTGTGTGTTTGTTCTTAAGGAAACGAGGTTTTGGAGGGCATCTGTCTGCAATCTGAACTTGGACTTGTGGGCACGTGTTCATGGGATGGTGTCCCTGGACACCACTGTGTGTCTGTGCTGAGCACGAGCCCTGCATCGAGAACTGTGCGATGGCCACCACCCTCTCACAGCCGCAGCCGGCGACGAGGGGACCCAGGGGACCAGGCAGCACCTTGCAAACACAGGGAGGCCCCAGGGTGAACGGCGACTGGAGGGTTTGCCTCCACTTTTCCTTCAGTGTAGGAGTTGATGTCAGGGTGACCCCGCAGCTGTTAGGAGTCATCTGACTCTTTAGGGGAGAAGAAACTCAATAAGCCAGTCAGCCGCTCCCATCAGCTGGGCTCATTACCGGACAGCCCAGGCTGCTGGCTGCCCGCAGGACCCGCCTCAGGGGCTGTGCAGCCTCAGGGTGCGGGTCTCAGGGTGCGGGTCTCAGGGTGCAGGTCTCAGGGTGCGGGTCTCAGGGTATGGGTCTCAGGGTGTGGGTCTCAGGGTGCCTGTCTCAGGGTGCGGGTCTCAGTGTGCCTGTCTCAGGGTGCGGGTCTCAGGGTGCGGGTCTCAGGGTGCGGGTCTCAGGGTGCGGGTCTCAGGGTGCGGGCCTCAGGGTGCGGGTCTCAGGGTGCGGGTCTCAGGGTGCGGGTCTCGGGGTGCGGGCCTCAGGGTGCGGGTCTCAGGGTGCCTGTTTCAGGGTGCAGGTCTCAGGGTGGGGGTCTCAGGGTGCCTGTCCCAGGGTGCCTGTCTCAGGGTGCGGGCCTCAGGGTGCGGGCCTCAGGGTGCGGGTCTCAGGGTGGGGGCCTCAGGGTGCGGGTCTCAGGGTGCGGGCCTCAGGGTGCCTGTCTCAGAGAGGGGGTCTCAGGGTGCAGGCCTCAGGGTGCGGGCCTCAGGGTGCGGGTCTCAGGG